AGGGAAGGGAAGGGAAGGGAAGGGAAGGGAAGGGAAGGGAAGGGAAGGGAAGGGAAGGGAAGGGAAGGGAAGGAAAGGAAAGGAAAGGAAAGGAAAGGAAAGGAAAGGAAAGGAAAGGAAAGGAAAGGAAAGGAAAGGAAAGGAAAGGAAAGGAAAGGAAAGGAAAGGAAAGGAAAGGAAAGGAAAGGAAAAAGGAAGGAAAAGAGGGAGGGAGAGGCACATTAAGGTTATCTAAGATGGGTTTAGCACTCAGTTAAGCTGAGTTTAGTGCTCTTTTGTCCTGGTCCAAACACTGTCCTACACTCCCTGCCCTTCCTGGATGTCCTTCCACCCTTCCAGGGTGTCCAACTGCAAGGACTCAACATTTGGGCTCTGGGAGCAGGGTCTGTGTTGTCCCCAGGGGCTGGTTCATCAACCCTGTTCTGGTTTTTCCAACTCCAAAGGCTTCCTGGGCTGAGAGTCATTCCTGCCAGAGGGAAATGTGGTTTTACCAGGAGTCTCTTGGCCAGGCAATGACAGAAATAACCCTGGTTTGGGATTTCTGGGGTCCAAACACCCTGTACTTCATTCAACAATTTAAACCAAGCTCCAAAAAAGGGGCTCTGTGGCCTCAGGAGGAAAATTCTGGGCTAGGAGGGCTCAGCAGGAGTTCCTTCCTTCCCATTAAAGGGCTTCCTAATTAATCCTGCCCTTTCCAAAGGGGCCAGCAGCCCTGCTTTGCTTCTTTGAAGCCCAGGGGGGAGTTAAATGCCATGTGGGGAGGGAAAAAGAGAAAGCAGGGGAGAAAAAAAAGGCATTTGTGATCTCCAGCCCTGTGGAGGGAGGAATTAGGGCTGGGAAATCCTGCTGGAGCCCAAGCAGGGACTCAGACACACGTGGGGAAGGTGTTGAAAGCCAAGCTGAGCTTGGCAAAGCTTCTCTGGGACACAGATGGGATGAGTTTGTCTGTCAGCAGCGAGTGGCAGGTCACAATTTGCTGGTTGGTGTCATTTATATCCTTATTTATTTGCATCATGAGGCAGGTGGGGCACAAGCAAAGCTGGGCCTGGCCAAGCTGAGCTCCAGAGGACTTTTCCAACCTTTATTATTCCTTCATAGTCCAGTCAGTGGAAAGAAACACCCCCCCAGGATGGGGCTGAGCCCCCCAAAATGAAGCAGGAACTGAGACAGCTCAGGGTCTGATCATTTCCCTGGGTCGTTCACTGGGGCTGTGGCTTTTCCAG